CTCATTGCGCCGTTCCTCGCCGGGGTCACCATCGACGCCAAGGAACACAAGGCGGAGGAGGGGCAAGACGCCGTCGCGTCCGCCATCATGACCCATCTCTTTGTGGAGGCCCGACGGCAGTGGGATGCGGTGTCCTCGGCACCGCCGCCATCAGCCTTGCCATCGCCGCCTTTGCCGCCGCCTGTCAGCCCAGGTCAGTCGTCGGCCCACGTGCCTGACCGGCCGCCGAAGACCTTCTCGGCGTGGAACCAGCAAGTCAAGGCCTATGAGGACCGCCTGCTCGACGGCAAGCGCCGCACATTTCCGGTGCAGGAGCTACTGGGCGCCGAGGAGATACTCGCCAGGATGTGGTTCGAGCACACGGTCTCGAAGATGTACACGCCGGTCACCTTGGGAGAGATCGTGTCGCGCCGCACATGGACGCCGGGAAGAGTTCTCAACCCGCTTGCGGCGAACAGAGCCTCGGCCGCCGCCAGCTCCAAGGCACTGCGCTTTGATCACGGCGCGCTTGTGCAAGAGGAGCCGGCGGAATGGTCTCCCAAGGGCCTCTTCTCGACGATCGACGGGGCCAATGCAGCCAGGTGGGCGTGGACCCTTCTAGGCATCGGCGAGGAGGACGACGTGATGAAGTACGCCGACTGGTTCGTGGCGAAGGCGCGGGCGCACTCGGAGATGGTGCCGGCGATCCAGGCCTTCTGGCACAAGACGGCGTGGACATTGGCCATGGCGCTGCGGAACAGCACGTCCTTCGGCGAGGCCACCAAGCACATCAGGTGGCAGGAGGTCATCCTGACGCAGGCCCCGCCGCCCCGCCGCCAGCCGCAGATTGCCACAGCAGCGGCGCCCGCCGACACGACGGAGGAGAACGAGGACCAGGACCCGACGTGGTGGGGCATGGGCGGAGGCCGCAAGCGCCGTCGCGGCGGCAAGGCACGCGGCAAAGGGCGCGGCGGCAAGGACAAACAGCAGCAGTCCGACAGGGGAGGCGACGGGAAGAACGCCGCATACCAGGGATGGTGGAGCCAGAAGGACGGCGGCAAGAAGGCGAACCAGGACTGGTGGGGCCAGCCCGCCGGCGGCGGCAAGCAGCAGCACTACGACGACCAGACCCGCCCTTGGAGGGCCCAGGCGTCGGGCAAAGGTCGCCGCTAGGGACAGCGCGGGGCCTCGGCAACGGCGCCCGAAGTCGAGGTACCCGACCCACCGCCGCCGAAGAAGATCAGGCTCTCCAGCCGGACGCCGAGGGGCGACGAAGTCATTGTGCTGTCGGCGTTCGACGGGATGGGGGCCGGCCCTTGGCTGGTATGGGACCTCATCGGCGAACCCAGGGCCACACTGGCCTGGGAGGTGGACCGCGCCGCCATCCAGGTCGCCGACTACAACATACCCGGGATCCACCACCGCGGCGACATCACGGAGGACTCCCCCAAGGAGACGGCGAAGAAGATCGCCGAGCTCGACCCGGAGGCAGGGTGCATTATCATCTTCCTCGCGGCGCCGCCATGCCAGGACTTTTCCCGCGTGGGGGACCGAGAGGGTCACGCCGGTAACCGAGGATACCTCTTCAACTTCACGGCGGACTTCATCGACGAGCTGCGGCCTTTGCTTGCGCCTCGCCGCTTTGGGGTGTTGGTCGAGAATGTCGAGATGACGCCGGCCGACGCAGCAGCAGCGACCAAGCGATTGGGCTTCGAGCCGGTGTTCGCCGACGCGGCGGACTTTGGCTGGATTGGGCGCCCACGGCTGTGGTGGACGTCGATCGACTGGGAGGAGGTCACCCACGAC